TTAGCCTTCAGTTGGGTATGCTATGATAGGATATGTGACATTGGAGCATAGCTAGGCTTAATTTAGGATTTCATTATTGTTATTTTGTTTTAGAAAAACTCATGTTTCATTTTTCTATAAATTTTGCATTTGACCATGTTTTAAGTTTACGAACGTGAATTCTCTACTCTTATGTTAATCGAACTATTGTTTTAATTCTAAAGATTTTATTTAACACAAGAATATGTTTTTATAATTATTTGTATATGTATGTATACACTAAGTTTGCATTGGCTATTTGACAACATTTTCAATTCCTAAAAGAATTTTTTTTTTCAAATGTGTTTTTTGGCACAATCAATGTTTTGCACAAATAACTAGTTTTTTAATTTATAAAGAGGAAAAAATAATAAATAAAAAGTTTATAAAAATAAAAAAATAACATGTAAAAATGGAAAATATTTTCTCAATCCAGCAAGAGTTACGTGAGATATTATAAGGTATAGGTGCATTTAATTTCTCAAATTCAATGAGTTTGATACATTTATTTCAAAGCCTAAATTAGCCTACAAAAATTATTTATATAGCCTATAGTATAACCTTATCCCAAACGATCTTGTGGGCATTCTAACCCTGAAGAATTTTCTACAAGTGACCTTTTTGTGCTCACAACGTTTTTGGGTGTCCTTCCCCAGGTGGACTAGGATCAGATGAACTTACATGACCTTTATATAGGCTTTCTAATTGTGAAGGACTTTCTATATATGGCCTTTTTGGCTTTAACAATATTTTTGGATGTCCTTCCCCAGGTGGGCTAGGACCAGATGAACTTACATGACCTATATCTAGGCTTTTTGGAGTTGAAGGATTTCCTACAAGTGGCCTTTTGGGGTGTCCTTCCCCAGGTGGGCTTGGACCAAATGAACTTTCATGCCTTATATTTGGACTTATTGACCCTTAAGGACTTTATATAAGTGGCCTTTTTGGGTGTCCTTCTCCAGGTGGGCTAGGTCCAGATGAATATACATGACCAATTTTAACCTCTTTATAGATGATGTGTCCTCTTGCTTCTGATTTAGTGCAAATATCTGCATATATCCAAATAATACAAGATAATAAGAAGAACATTGAAAAAAAATTTCAATACACATAAACAATGTAGTTTCATTCAAAAATAAAAACTCAGTTTATAAATACAAATCATTCGAGGTTAGAGATGAATGAGAATGAAAAACAAACGTCATTTCTTAACGGAAGCCACAATCAAGAGAGCTAACAAGAATGCTATTTTTCTAACATAATACTTTGAAGACTCCATCTTGTGCATAAAACATGTTCTTCCACACAACTATATATAACCAAATGGGGGGATTATAGCTTGACTCAAAAAATAAAATATTTTTTTATTACATTGATACTTATCTTAAATGATGCATTAAATGTGAGTGTAATCTTTTATTCAGTTTTCTTATCAACATTTATTAGGTATGGATATACACATACTACAAAAAAGAGATTTTTAGGAGGGTTTGTTAATGAGAGTTGTTATAACCGTCAAGAATATAAAATTTAACGAAGGTTTTAAAGGCCATAGTTAATTACTAGCAATTATTGTTGAAACTTCCTGAATTTTGCATTGAATTTATTTAATGTTTAGTTTGTTTTTTACAACAATGTTTGTGGTGTTTTAAATAATCATTTTTTTTCGCATTCCTTCTCTATTCTCTCATGTATATTGTGGAAGTATTTAATTTAATTTAATTGAGCTTATGAGGTAAATCAGAAAGTTTTTAATAAATAAAATCAAATATAGTTTAAGAGGTGAGTTTGAGTGGAGTCGTTGGGTTTCGACTCTTAAGCTCAACCTAAAGTCTGATTAAAAAATAAGTAGAAGAGAGGCTAGGTCATAAAACACATCAGACTTATAAACCCTAAAATGTTGAAGAGAAGAGTCCAGAGGAATGAATGGAGAAGCCTTGAACGGTAGAGGATCAACCATGTGCATTGGACATCGCCATCTAAGAAAAGAAAGGTATAGAGGATGTCTCATAATTGGGATATGTTAGGGATGTGTGTAGTGAGGCGATGCCTAACCCTTCGTAGGTGTAACTAGTCAATCACATCAAAATGAGAGGGATCTTGAGATTCTTGTACAAGTGTGAGATTGTACAATTGATGAAAGCTTAAAGGAATTAATTTGTACAATTTATAACAATAAGATAAAACTACATTTCAGTAGCTCATGACAAAATAACGTCATAGTTTAGTGTTCTTGACTTGGAACAATTTAGGCATGGACAACTTTTTGGAAAGTTTCATAGAAAACATGCTAGTGAGACTTGGTTGATGCATACCAATGTTGTTGAAGGTCGACACCAAAGTTGTAATATTCTTAACGGATATGCTAGAATTCCTACTCTAAGTTCTAACATATGAGAAACCACTAAGAAGTGGTCATGCTATTATCCCTATTGATTAATGATTACAGGTTGCTTCATTGTAGGTTTGGTAGGACTAAGACACTTAGATTGCTCAATTTATTGCAAGAAAACTTTATAATTTAAAATGTGCATTGATGCATGGATTGAGTGTCTGGGTTGTGTTACCGTGTTTTTCAAGTTGCTGAATTTTATAACATGGATTGATAAGTTGAAAGTTTATTGTAGTGTTTGTGATGAATACAAGTTGTTATGTTGCTTTGTGTTGACTTAAGAGTTCTTTGAGTTAAATGTTGTATTATGATTTATAGTAGGTATGTTGAGTTGAAATTGTTTGATGTTGAGGTCTTATCTTAAGTTATTATAATAGCTTTACTATTTTTTTATTATATGTTGTTTCTATTCAAGGGCTTACTCTTTCTTCTCCTTAGTTTTTATTATATGTTTTCTTATATGAGGGCATTTTTAGAAGCTATTTCTTGACCTAAGCATTTTGAAATATTCTTTTAACTTTTTATCTAATTTAATTTTAATTTTTAAAAATAAATTATCAATAATTAAAAATGATTTATTTATTTATCTTAAATTTAAAATATAATTTATATTTAAAAATATCTTTTTATATTATTTTTAAACAAAACTTATATATTCAGATATAGTATTTATTTATAAGCTTAAATATATTTTTAGTCCTAAATTTAAGATAAGTTTATTTTTGGTCTTTCAAATTTAAAACTATTTTTTAGTCTTTGTAATTTTTAAAATCTTATTTAACTTCCTTAAGTTAGCAATAACACACCTGAAAGTAACAAATTGATACAGTTATACAATATTAATTGAGTTTAGTGTTATATTTTCACTAAGAGAGGCACTAATAGGTATATTTTGTGTAACAATATTTGACAAATTTTCTAAAAAAAAATTGAATATAAGGAATAAACAAGATTTTTTGAAATTACATAACTAAAAAGATCAATTTTAAATTTGAGAGATTAAAAACATATTTAAATCTTTTTTATATATAATTTACTATAATTTTTTATTATATATAATAAATATTCAGTTTACAAAATGCACGAGTTAAAATATCAGGGGACCATAATCTTGACATGTTGACATATTTATATATCAAAAAATAAATTGATAAAACGATATGAATTGATTTTTCACTTAAAAATAAATACTTTATCATATTTATTTTAATTGATGTTATGATAATCTTATTATGGACATATTTCCATTTTATGTGTCTTCTCACTCAATTAATATTTTATAATTTTTAAGAAGCGTTATTTTATGACTTAATATATATTTAATTAGATAAAAAAATAAGACTTGAAAAGTATATAAGTATATAAGTATATATACTCTTATATACTTATATAAAATTAAAAAATACATTCAACATCATATTAGTATATTAAAAATTAAAGATCATAAATTTATAACTTTTATAATCAAATAGTTGTTCGGATTGAAAAAATATAAAAGCAATGGCACATGTCACCTAAATCTCACAATGTCATTCAATTCACTCTTTATCCTTGACTTGGAATTAGGGATGACAATGTAGATTGAATTTAGTGATTCAACTTGTCAATGTACCTAATGTTGGTGGGTTGGATTGAATAGAAAATCCACCAATCTACCTAATCCACTCTGTCAAATCAACCAACCCAACGGGTTCAACCCATCAATTCACTTTTTTTTAAAAAAATATTTTTAAAAGATAAATTTGTAGTCAAATAATGTTGGATCAATATTTTTATTTTATGATTTAACTTCTTTTTCTAAGAAATTGTTCTCATTTTAAAAATATATTATTTTAATCATATTTTTTTGCTAGTACATTTTCATGTATATATATTATTTTGTTCTTTTTTATGAAAAATATAACACTTTTAATCAATTTTACAAATAATAATAAAATATAAATTGAAATGATAATGTATATTAAAATATTTTGATTGAGATTATTTTTAAAAAAAATTGAGTAGATTAAAGGTGAATCAATGAATCCACCATGTTTAACCTATCAACTCAATAAAGTGAATTAATTTGTCATCTCACCGCTAAGCGAGGTAATTGAATTTTTTAACCCATTTCTATTTCTATTGATGGACTAATCTTCCTCATCCCATTTCTTTGGTGGACCAACCCACCTCACTTTGCTTTAAGTGAGTTCACTTATTTTATCACTCCTATATTAAATGAACCAACTCAGATGCAACCAATAATAACCCATTTGTATTTTAAAAATTCATTTTTTTTCCTCTTTTTTGTTTTAAAATCTTCATGATACTTTTATTTTATTTTCTCATATTTGAATTTTTTGTTATGAATAGTATGTTATCAAACTTGTTATATTTGTGCCTTTATTTTTCTATATTTTTTGTGTTCTTTTTTTAAAATTAGGTGTACTAGTTCGTAAGCCAACCCAATTAAGCCATTACCCCATGTGAATTTAGCCAAATTGTGTATATTTTGGCTTATAAAAAAAATGAGTCAGCTAGGTTGACACACCTTTTGAAAAACCCATCGTGAGCCAATCCAAATAAGCTTGATTTTTTGACACATCTAATCTCAAAAACGGTTCAAAACGGACTAAACCTTTAAGCATACCATCAAGTATTGCCAAAAATAGTCTAATGCTTAACGCAGACACAAAAAAGCAGCAGCATCATTGATGAAATTAGTTTGGACAAAAAAAAAAAATACAAAATGTGAGGTTACATGGCAATATTTTGCTGGCTAAGACTAAGAAAACCCGTAACCATGACTGCACAATCTAAGGAGACCAACTAGTGGGAACGTATCAAGGTTCCTGCTGCAAGGAACAAGCTAAATACAGCTGCACTTCCTAGAGTGGTCTGCCCAATATGCCTTATCTTGAGGAACCCAGGAACCTGAATAATAAAGGCAGGCCATTACACATGTCAGATAATCAGACAACTAATTGAGTATATATACCGCCAACAGAGACACACAAAATAGATAATATCCTTTAAATGCATCTCGTGGCTGGAATATGCATATGATTGTCCAGGTAATAGAAAAGACTTAACCGGCAGTTAAAGTTCGAAGATTAGATACAAATGTGAAATGCACTACAGGAACCTAAAAGAATTAATTCATAACATACTTTTGAATATCCGAGTTCTATATACTCAACTACCTAAAAACTTGAAATGATCAGCATGTTATCCTTATTTTTTCTTCCAGATTGGAAATGAAGATGATATGCAATGACTTGTTTAAAACAATTTTTCATGGTTGTTTGATATAAACATGTGAATCAGATTTAAACATCATATTGTTCACCTATCCACAACTGTCTGTAAATGTAATTTAACATATCAGAAAACTTAAGTACCATTTGATGTTTCCTAGTTGTCACGCACGCAAACGTACAGAAACATGCAATAATGCATTGCCTGCTGTGTCTCCCATATTAGTGTCGTAGAGTGATATACACGTTGGCACAGAGTATGGTAAATAAATACAAATTACTAAGGTACTGTTTGCAACAACTTATTTTGGACTTCTTCATTTAATACTTGTATAATTTTAGGTCCCTTGAATGCATCTTGCTTCTTCATTGACATGACCACATCAAGAGGAGAGCTGAACTAAACAGCATGGACAATCAGGGTTCCAAAGGGTACACTGCACATAGAGGATGAAGAAGAGTCCTTCTGAAACAGAAATCGAGAGGAGAGTTGTGATGAACATCAATTGACTATCAAAGAATTAGAACTATCGATCTTTGATGGGTACAATTCAGTGGGATGGATATCAAAGGTGCCTGGTAGAATCTTTCCCAAAGAAGAAGAATTACAACATGTGGAAAGATGAGAAGAACCGGAGGAAGGGCCACATTCAGATGTTACCCATCATCCAAAACAGCAACATATAAATTTGGCACGAGGAAACCTGCAGAAAATAACCCAAAAGAAAATTTTGGTGATCAAATCTGGCATTCTTCACCTGGCAGAACCAATTGTAATTCCACAAAGGAAAGGAGTTCAAGAGATATGTTGATGCAGAAATACAGATGAACATCAAGAAGGGGCTTTGTTCTTAGGAATGATGTGAAATATAGCTTGGATCATTTCTGCCAAATGTTACTGGAGGAAGATTTAGAAGGAGTAGGAGATGGTGTAGATTCTAGGACGGGATAGTAGGGGTGGGCAAAACGAACTGAACTGAACTTATAAAAACTATACTGAACTTAAAAGTAGTTCATATGAACTAAACCAAACTAAATATTAGTTCAGACGAACTGAACTGAACTATTCTTTTGTGTTATTGAACTGAACTGAACTATATTATAAAAACTTGAACTGAACTGCAATTTAAACTGCACTAAACTGTTATGATATTTTGAATTGAACAATTTTGACTCATTGATCTATCAAAATAGGACACATTTGCCAACTTTACTTTATTTTCCATTTTATTTAAATTTTTCAAAGGAAAAAATATAAAATTAAGTCAAACAAACTCAGTGAATTTAAAGGCTAAAAATACTTAGTTCAACATAGCTCAATTGATCCGTTAAGTTCGACAAAATTGATAAAAAAAATTTCAAATCACTTTTTTTCCAAAGTTTTGGCTATTAGACTATCGAGCTAATCCATTAAAACATAACATGTTAGACACATTTAATTTTTATTCTTTTATAAAAATAGTTCAATTTTTATAATTTAGTTCAGTTTTTATAGTTCAGTACAGTTCAACTTTACAACAGTTCAGTTCAGTTCAGTTTTTTTTAAACAGTTCAGTTCAGTTTTTTTACAAACAGTTCAGTTTTTTATAGTACAGTTCACCACCAGTTCAGTTCAGTTCAATTTAGTTTTTTTTTGCCCACCCCTACGGGATAGGCTGCTGAATTTCATCTTGATGACAAGGTGTAACATTTAATAGGGGGAGTGTTGTTTGCGATCACAGTAACTACCTAATGGAGATGGAAACATTTTATACGTGTAATTAGAATAAAAAGGAAGGTGAGGAGTTGGTTAGCACGGTTTTTGATTGATTGAGAGAAGGATAAAGGAGAGCCCAGGCCTCTTGAACATATGGACAAGAATTTGTATCTGGTTTTGCATCTCTTTTACACAAATTTGTGATTGGGTTCCAATAGTCTTAAAAGGTTAATGATTAGTAATAGGATGTATATGATTTAATTTTGTTTGACAAATTTCCCTTAGTTTTCTTCAATTATTTGGGGTTTCTTTCTTGTTAATTAATGCCAGGTTATTTAACTAAAGTCAGTTGTAGACTTCTCATCCCAGCATTGACAAAATCCATTTATGAATTCAGCTAACAAATAATTAATTGATCTCTGTTTTCTTTCATAGAACCCCTAATCACCAGGATGTATTGTTGAGACATCAGATGTCTAATAAGAAAAAAAACCAAACCCTAGGTTTTCTTTCTTCATCTTCTCCTCTTCTCCTTTTTTTCTTTGATCCAAACCAGTTAAATTTCTAATAAGACAAGTTGACTTAATCATCAGAAACTAAATTGACAAACATGCAAAAGCCCTAAATTAAGTTTAATATTGCATTAATTTTCACTTCCTAAAGCATTAAGAGTAAATATAGATATAAAATCAGAAATACACTTGATTTCCTAATGATTCAGCTTCCGAAATCTTAACCCACCCCAATATGATTTCAGTAATTCAAAGCATAATAACATCTTTTTCCGCCCCAATTTTTCAAAAATTAAAAACCTAGCCATAATCGGCATAGCTCGAGACTGAATCGCCCCTAATCAAATTAAAAAAAAAAAAATGCAATTGCATTTTCCAATTCACTCATTCGATAATTAATTAATTAAATAAAAGAAAGGAATTGAATCGCATACCTTGTGCCTGATTGCATCGTAAGTCCCATAAACAGCACCTGCATGCAACGCGCCAATTCGAAATTCAGAAGATTAACAAAAGAAAGGAGCGAAAGTTGTGGCGTGTTTGGCTAAGTGTAAAGGACAGAACCAAACAGTGTATAAGAAGTGAGATCTCACCGACTGCGCCGCCGATTGCGCCGCCAACGGCGG